GATTTGTCTTTACCGAATTCGATAAAGCGTTCAATTAGATTTTGCCTGTATGTAGTTAGTTTTTTTACTTTTTTGATTATTAATCAACTAATTCCAAAATACCCAGGGTAATATTGCAGAATCCGTGCGAGGCAACAATACCTGATTAGTTATCCTTAACGTAAAATAGACAGTAACAACGCAAGGACGGAGATAGCAGGGTATCTATATCGGACTTCTTGCGCCAACTCATCACTAAATGTCATATAGAACGTTTCCGAAGCTTATTTTGTGCATATTTGGATATGAGCTCTGAGCCGGAAAAATTGCTTATTAATTTAGCGAAAGCTAAAAACCGTTGCTGCTTTCTTGTTGCACGAAGTATATAAATAGCAACATGTCAGTTGTATAAGTTGGGATTATAGTATACTTCCAGAACAAATAATAGAATAAACTGAATATACAAAATGACAGTTCCACAACAATTTAAAGGTTTCGGTGTTGACAAGGCAGAAAACTGGAATAAGCCACAATTAGTTGAATATAAAGCTAAAGATATTGCATCTCATGACGTTGTTTTAGAAAACATATGTTGTGGTTTGTGTGGTAGTGATATACACACCTTGAAAGGTGCCTGGATGCCTTTGAATAGAAACGATCTTGTTGTCGGTCACGAAATTATTGGTAAGGTTATTGCCGTAGGTAAGGACGTTAAGGAAATCAAGGTTGGTGATAGATGCGGAATTGGTGCCTGTTCCAAATCTTGTATGGATTGTGAAAGATGTCAAACCGATAATGAACAATATTGTCATAAGAAGGTTGGAACTTACAACTCTGAAGATTTCGAGACTAAGTATGTCACTCAAGGTGGTTATTCTTCTCACTCCATTGCACACGAACAATATGTTTTCCCAATTCCAGATGAATTGGAATCCGCAGTTGCTGCACCATTGATGTGTGCTGGTTTAACTGTCTTCTCCCCATTAGTCAGAAACCTTGGTGAGAATGCTAAGGGTAAGACTGTTGGTATTATCGGTATTGGTGGTTTAGGCCATTT